CTGGGCTATATGAGTTCAACATGTAAGAAGTAGAAAGTACAGGTATTTGAGTTCAACATGTAAGAAGTAGAAAGTACAGGTATTTGTGTTCAACATGTAAGAAGTAGAAAGTACAGGTATTTGTGTTCAACATGTAAGAAGTCAAAGTAAAAAGTCTTCAGAAAAATAAGTAGTGGAGTAAAGTACTGATACCAGAACAATGTACTTAAGTGCAGTAACGAAGTACTTGTACTCCACTTCTTCCCACCTCTGCTGATAACTTATACTAATGAAAAAGAGATATACTTGTAGACAAATGTGGTGTTTATTATAATAATAATAATACGTTGGATTTTTATAGCGCTTTTCCTGGTGCTCAAATACGCTTTAAATAAAATCAGGAACAGAAACAATACAAAGAAAACTAAAAACATACAGTAAACAGCATACTCCTAATCCAAGTGTGAGAAAGAGTTTGAAAGCTAGAGTGAATAAGTGAGTTTTGAGAGATTTTTGTTCTGGCCTTTCGTTTAGTAACTGTTGTCTCATCTTCCCCGCAGACAACAGAGACGTGTCTCTCATGATGAGGGAGATGGACGTGAACGCCATCGCTGGAACTCTGAAGCTGTATTTCAGAGAGCTGCCGGAGCCGCTGTTCACGGACGAAATGTACCCAAACTTCGCTGGAGGCATCGGTCAGTCAACACTTCATTATCATCCAGTTGACATGACTTGGAACTTGACTCGGACTTGTACGTTTTGACTTGGGACTCGACAATACTTTGGACAGGAAATGTAACTCATCAGTCTTGACCGGGGACTTGACTTTAAACCTGTACGTTTCGACTTGGGACTTGATTTGAGGATTAGTGTTTTCTTTTTAAATTTGTAACGAAAGTGTGACTCATCAGTTTTGACCGGGAACTTGGCTTTAAACTTGTACGTATTTGACTTGGGACTTGACTTGGGAATTAGTCAGTTTTTTGATTTGTAACGACTGGACTTGGCCTTTGGTTCCAGGACTTTGCTGCCTTGACTTGGGATTTGACTTTAAACGTATTCATTTCAATTTGGGTCTTGACTTGGAACTTCACTGGAGATTTGTTAGTTTAGACTTAGCACGAGTCATTCTTGACTTGAAATTTGACTTGAATAGTTATTTGTCACTTTTGACTCTGGGTTTGTTGGGTTTGTTAGTCTCGACTGGTGAAGACTTGAATTGGCATTTGGTTTCGGGACTTCCCTGTCTTGACTTGGAACTTGACTTGAGATTGGTTGGTTTTGGCTTGTCAGGCTTGACTTGACACTTGACTGCTTAGACTTTTGGTTGTCGGACTTGCCTGTCTTTAATTGGGACTTGACTTGGGACTTGACTTGGGACTTGTTGAATCCAGACTTTCAAATTTGACTTGTCAGAACTTGTCAGACATGACTCTGGACCTGACTCGTGTGTTTTTGTCCCTCAGCGCTGTCTGACAGGGAGGCGAAAGAGAGCTGCATGCTGAACCTGCTGCTGTCTCTACCGGAGGCCAACCTGGTGACCTTCTTCTTCCTGCTCGAACACCTCAAGCGGTAATATATGGTTATATTTCTCATATATTTTAAATATTTTAAATATTTTTGTTTATCTGTTAAACATATTGCACATTAATTTCCTTTTCAAAACTATTCCACAAATTAACTGTTTTTACTGTAATACACCTCTGTCTTGTATTTGTCTGATTTTGTTTAGTTTTTTGGTAAACATGTTACCCATTTTTCAGTAATTGGTACATGTAAATCGGTAATGGCTATTTTCAGGGTCATTGTCACATGCTAGCCTAGCGATCCAAGGAAAATTAAAAGCATCATTAATTGACAGCTAAAATTATGACTTATGGTCTTTACATATTTAGAATGCAACATAAATATGACGCTATTAGTTGTTAAAGTTCATATTTGTAGCAATACTTGTCCTGAAAGTGCTAAAGTAATATTCTATATCACTTTTATGGATGTAAAAATGATGGCAAACCCAATATAAAAGTTTTTGTATGATTGGATAGAAACTCAACTCTCAAGCTGTCTGTTGACTCATTGACAATGTTCTGCTTTGTTCTTGCAGGGTGACTGAGAACGAGGGCGTCAACAAGATGTCTTTGCACAACCTGGCCACCGTGTTTGGTCCGACTCTGCTGCGGCCGTCAGAGAAAGACAGCAAACTCTCCAGCAGCTCCACGCCCATCTCTATGAACGACAGCTGGTCTCTGGAGGTCATGTGTCAGGTACAACATGCGACAGAATATAGAGTGATGCAGGGATGACAGATTTTTGTAGGCCGACCCTGACGGCAACATCTCCCTTGTTCCCTCGATAAAAAGCCATTGGTTATTTCAGAAAAGAATCTCTGTGTCAAACAAACGTTTATGATGCTTACACGTTTAGTTCAGCAGGATAATCTCCACATATTAACACCAAGTTATGATTTTTGAAGTCAAAAGCTAATGTTGGGCTATAAAGGAACTACAGCACGGTCACATGACTTCACATCACCACCGCTAAGCTAAAGGTGGCTAATGTTGGGCTATGAAGGAACTACAGCACGGTCACATGACTTCACATCACCACCGCTAAGCTAAAGGTGGCTAATGTTGGGCTATGAAGGAACTACAGCACGGTCACATGACTTCACTCACACCGCTAGCTAAAGGTGGCTAATGTTGGGCTATAAAGGAACTACAGCACGGTCACATGACTTCACATCACCACCGCTAAGCTAAAGGTGGCTAATGTTGGGCTATAAAGGAACTACAGCACGGTCACATGACTTCATGTCACCACCGCTAAGCTAAAGGCGGCTAATGTTGGGCGTGATGATGTTTAGCCGTCTGATTTAGGCACTTGATAGCAATTGACGTTTTTAAATCCACCAGTGGGTGACGTATTTTATGTTGTAGAACAAAACTTTTAAATCTCTTCAGCTTGTGTTAACCACAGACCTTATTTCAGGCACCCAAAAACACTTCCAGATGATTACAGGGGGAAAACCTCAGCTAGCTATTAGCCGTAAAGTCAGGCATCCAGGGAATTTCAGTTATTGTACCTGTGTGGACGTAGGCTTTTCAAAACAAAAGCACCTAGCTCAACACAACCCTTTAGAAGATTTTCCTAGTCTTAAAATGACTATATCAAAACTCAGATAGAGTTAGAGAGTTTGAACTTGAGGGAAAATAGAGGCAGAAAAAGATAGAGATTCAGAACAATAGATATCATTGTAAAATGTGGAATTTCTGTATCCTCTGCAATTATATTTATTCCTCCATTAATATATTTTGTATAGTCGACTCTAGTACAATGATACACACCATACTATATGTGCAAACACCCTATGTAATAACTGAAAGGTGAATGCATATATAAAGCTTTGTTATGTTATTTCTATTTGTTTCCACTTCTTTCTCATCCTGTGTCATTTTACCTATCACTATATCAGAATTTTTCCTCTGCTTCTTTGACTCTTTTATCTGGTATCAATACATTTCTTATCTACTAAGGTTTGTACTTAAGATATTTTAAAGGTGAAAAGGTTAACCAGCAGAGCTATAAATGTTGACTTGTTTTCAAGGTGGTGGACTCATACATGCAGCTCTATATTGATAAGTTACACAGGGACATTTTTCACTTTTTCAGGCTCTGATCTCCTGTTCTGTGTCCCCAGGTTCAAGTCCTCCTCTACTTCCTTCAGCTGGAGGGCATCCCAACCCCCGACAGCAAGCGTCAAAGCCTCCTCTTCACCACTGAAGTATAACGGGAACATGGTGCACTGATTATTCTGTGCACAGGTTGAATATCTGAGGATTAATGAGGCGGACGCTGCTGTGTTGCTGTGAGGACGCTTCATGTGGCCACTAGGTGGACTCAGCAACACATTAAACTGGAAACAGCCATAATCACCACAGCCTGCTGTCAGAAGAAGATATAGGACAAAATATATCATTCCTTTTTTTTAATTTAAAATGATTTGCTGTTCTGTTCCACTGTGCACATTAGCTCCATATTCACAGAGGAGGGATTTCTGCTGTATTAAGATTTATTTCTGATATATAAAGCTCACCTGTGCCAATGTGTCCCCTGCTGATGACCAAACATTACCCTAAATGTTTACCTTCATTTTGTACAGTTTTTAAAAAAAATATGAGACTGAAAACTGTAGTTACACAAAGCAACGTGCAGGCATGTTGACCTTACCTTTTAAAGTGTGCAGGTATACGATTTGTATAGTGACCTTATTCAGTTTGCAGCTGCTTCTGGTGGTGGTGTTGTCTGTCGATATGAGGGCTTTATATGGACGTGGTACAGAGAAGAAATAGGCTAATCATTCCAGGATATGTAATGAATGCTGTGTATAATTTTAATTTCAAATGTTTTTGTCTATGTTTAATATGTTGTTCCATGTTTGATGTCTGATTTTAAAGAGGCCCTATTATGCTTTTTTTTTTCCTTCAGGTTTTCCCATTCCTGTAGTTTATTATACAGGTTTTTGTGCATGTAAATGGCCTGCAAAGGCAAAAATCCCTGTAACGCCTCCATTTGACTTCCTTGTTTACTTCCAGAACATAGTAACATCACTATGTAACACTCACACTTTTATTGGCTAGCGCTCCAACAAGACATGACACAGTAGATGCACTAAATACTGATATACACCTGAACATGATAGGGCCTCTTTAATTAATTCTGTATATGTGTTGCTTCCTGCTGCATTCCTTCTCTGTAGTCCACCTTTTAAAAGGACAAAACCACACTGCTGTAGGAATAAAATCGACTGGATTTTAAATACCAAATGATTCCTCTTAGGACCTATTTAAGGCACAGTTATTCACTCATATTCAAGTCTCCTGGCATAGGGTTATCATCCATGTACCTATAGTGTTACTGAAAATACACTGTGTTCGTGCATTAATATTGTTTTTGTCCCAATCACTGCAAGTATTGAAACACTTGCTGGCACAATCCTTATCCCTAAAGGCTTATGTAAAATAAAAAGCAATAACTGTTAGTGATTCTTAGGATGAGACTTCTTGTATGTATGATTGTGTAAATAAAGACTTGGTAACATTATTCTTGCAATGTTTCATTCTTTGTACATTATTATTATTGGTAAAAATACAGTCAGTGCACAATTGTTCTGTTGATGTTTAGTTGCTGATACAATTACAATACAAGTGGTCGAAGTAGCACAATATTTGCTTTCAAATTTTAGTATTAGTGTAGAAGTATTCAGTAGCATAACTTGGACATACTCAAGAAGAGTACAATTATACTCACATGAATACTTGTGTGTGCAAGTATAGATTACTTAGAGTACATTTACTTAGTTTCTTTCCAACACTGCTCAAGAACCTCACATTTGAATAATAGATTGCATTTCTTCAGTAAATACTTGAGTACTAGTTAATTTCCAACACTGCTCAAGAAAAAGTACCTCAAATATGTTCTTAATTGCACTACTTGAGTAAAGTTACTTTGATACTTTCCAACACTGCTAGAGTACTAAATAATGGAGTGCATTGCTTGTGTGAATACTTGAGTAGGCTACTTAATTACTTTTCCTCACTGCTCAGGAGTATTTTGTATATGTGTTTTATTGCAGCCAGTGAAGTCTACCCTGTTATAGAGGGTGGTGTGCATTACTGGACATTGCCTTACATGTGCATACTTGAGTAAAGGTCAATTAGTTTATTTCCAACACTGCTAAAGTACCTCACATTTAAATAATGGAGATGAGTGAATACTTGAGTACTTAGTTACTTTTCCTCAATTCCTAGTAGTATTTTGTAAATATGTGTTTCTCCTGCCCTGCAGCCAGTGAAGTGTCTCCCTGTGAAAGCAGTTGGTTAAAGAGGGTGGTGTGCATTACTAGAGTTAATGTACTTTTATTTTCAACACTGCACAATTACCTCCTTTTAAAAAAAAATTGCATTACTTGAGTAAGGTTACTTAGTTTCTTTCCAACACTGCTAGAGTACCTCACACTTAAATAATAGAGTGCATTACTTGAGTAAATACTTGAGTCCTAATACTCAGGAGTATTTAATATGTGTTTCTCCCACCTCCCTGTTAAAGAGGGTGGTGGGAGATGCTGATGCAACCGGAGGAGGGGGCCGAGGATCCGGCTGCTGCCAGCAGAGAGAGCCGCTGCTGCTGTGAACTCACTATAAATACCAGACACAACCAGGAATAATCTCTGGACATTTATCAAAGCATCAAACAGCAGAAACAAGGATAAACATCAGGTATGAGCGTTTTATCTGCTTAACTGACACTTGTCTTTTTCTTTTAGCCGGCTATGCTAACATTGTTAGCCTAGCATTAGCATTAGCTTTGCCATTTGTTTCTGACAGCTGTGAGGGATTTAATGAGTGAAAAAGGAAACGAAAAAAGCTACTTCAAGGGGATTTTAACTACAAAGACTCGGTTTGTATATGTGTTTGTTTTAAATTGCTTGGTATGCTTTGTTTTTAACCATTAAATTAGATTTTTGGTCAACTGTCAAGGTGGAAAAATCAGTTGACGTAATGTACGTAACATTTCAAAATAAATGTCTATGTTGACGTTTAGACATTTATTATTTAATCTGTGTCAAAATAACTCAGTTTTTATCATATATGTTGATATATTGGGCTTTTGTCTCTCTTCTAGGCAATTCATATTTAATTAATGGCATAAAAAAACAGCTTTTTTACTGTCATTTTTTTCACAAATCTTTTTTATTATTCTCAGCAATGGTTTTAAATCTGTTATACATTTCTAATTTTACATCTTTCAAAGATAACCTTAAGTTTTATTTTTGAAAATAATGTTGGTAAGGCTAGGTTTTTAAAGCTTTTAACTCTGTAAACTGGAGGTATGTTGTCCAACCCATTTGCACCAGAAGCTTAAGAGAGTCAAAGATGCAGTGGGACAAGTTAGGGAAGATAAACAAAAGCAAGACACATTTGAAAATAAACAAAACACAACAAAGTTTTATACATTTATTCACATTTCCTTTATTGCATTTGTGTAACTTTGAAAACTGGAGGTATGTTTTTCACCTCATTTACACCTGAAGCTTAAGAGTCAAAGCAAAGGAGCAGTCGAGTAAGTTATAGGAAAGATAAACAAAATCAAGACACTTGTGTGTAAGAAAGTATAAAGCTATATGATGTTATTTTACACAACATAGATTTATACTTGTGTATATATATACATTTCCCTAATTGCATTGGATAATTGGAACTAACTTGTGATAACATTTTTCTAAATCTGTGCTGCAAAAGATACAGAAATTGCGTAAAACACATCTATATTAACTTTTTCTCTATCTCTAATAAGTGTTTTTTCATATTTTGTGTACATTTTCTCATTCTTTGGGAGTTTTTTTCTAATTATTAGAGTTGAAGGGAACGTTTTGGAAAGGTTGTGCCTACGTGTCGAGATCGGTGCTTTTGTTTTGAAAAGCGCACGTTCAAACAGGAAGTGCAATTACTGAAATTCCCTGCATGCCTGACCTTAAAGCTAACAGCTAGCTGAGGTTATCTCCTTTAGTTTTACCATGGTTTAAAGTATCCATTTGGTCTCTTAACGTATTAAAACAGACATGTCTCAACTCCCTAGACTCTGGTTGTTGTCTTAACCTAAACAGTTTGTTTCTTAAAGTATTTGTTTGTGTGTTTTAATGACAAACTGTAACTGCTAACGTTAGCAAGGCTGATGCTAGTGTAAGTGTAGCCTGGGACAATGTAAATGTACCCCCTGAGAAAAGTCAACAGTGGGCTGATGGTGCAGCTTGTCAGTGGCATATCTCACACAGAGGTGGAAAAAGTAAATATTTAACTTAAGTAAAAGTACCAGAGTGTAAGTCATGCATCTTAAATCTTACTTTAGTAGAAGTACAAAAGTATTTGCATGTACATATATTTAACATACCAAAAGCAGAGGTGCGAAAAGTACTCCCATCATGTACTTGGGTAAAAGTACAAGTACCAGAGTGGAGGAATACTATGTTACAAGTAAAAGTAATGTATTTAAAAGGTTACTCAAGTAAATATACAAAAGTATTAGCTTCAAAATATAGTTAAAGTACCAAAAGTAAAAGTACTTATTGTGCGCAATGTCCCATTTAAAAAATGTACTGCATTAATGTGTTTATCAAAGCTGGTAAAGGTTGAGCTACTCTTTAACTACTTTGTAAATTAAAAAGTATTAGTTATTTATTCGTTTATTAGTATTAAGTTATCAGTTTATGTATACTTTGTTTCAGCTAATTATCTGAATCTGTCAAGTAACTGTTGTGTTTGTCAAATACATGTAGAGGAGTAAAAGGTACCATACTGGCTTGTAGTGGAGTAGAAGTACAAAGTAGCATAAAATAAAAATACTCAATTAAAGTACAAGTACCCTAAAGTCGTCCTTAAGTACAGTACTTGAGTAAATGTACTCTGTTACTATCCATGGTATCTTCATAAATCCCCTCTCCAGTCTTTTTTTCTAAAGAAGAAGTGAGTACAGATGTTTCCCAACTTTCCTGGAAGAGTTTGGAAAGAGCAATATGTCTCAGCCCACTCTCTAAATCAATATCCAGGTCTTCAGATATGACTCATGAGTTGTTTGGTCGATTATTGCTTTTATTTTTTGGAAAAAGATTCCGGGGAAAACTCTCAAGTCTTGTAACTTTTCCCCCAAAGTGACATTAAACCAGTGGGGAAAAAAAGATGTTGTTTTTGATAACCAAGCTCACTTTAACCACATCATCACCTTGGGTTCTGAGAAACTGGGATGGAGATGTTCACTATTTTCTTACTTGTTATACACCAAGCAGAAATAGACCAATAGAGAAAAGACTGAAATATCTGAGAATTGTGTTTGTTTGTGGCAGAAAAACATGACTTTTTAAAATATCTGTCTTGTTTATTAAGTATTTGAGATCTATTTAAACAAGAATAACTTATCAGGAATCCTTGAATGTTTTCAGCCTTTGGAATAAGGACATTTATCTTCTTTAAAAACTATTTTGATCATCGTAAATCATTAAAACACTTTTATTTGATGAACACTTTTATGCAAAAATGTCAGAAATGGCTGTTTAATTTTTTTATGAATATTACTTGATTTTTCTATGTTTAATTTCATATTAAATTAAATGTCTTAACAAGTGGCCTTTCTTCTACAAGGAGAGGTTGATGTTGATTATGTCAATAGGTGCAATAGATTGGGTCTTAATATGTGTATTATACTAATTAATGTTTGGTCTGTAACAAAAAATAGAAAATTCCAAGCTAGTCTTTGAACTTTTTGTTGTTGTCCAAAACCCAAATATGTTCACTTTTGATGACTATAAAAGAGTGAATAAGAGACCATCTCCATATATGAGAGGCTGTAAATAGCATTATTGCATGTAAAATAACTTAAATATGAAATAGTTGCTGATTAATTTAATCTTTATGGCATAGTATTTGAGTAATCCTTCATTTCTGTCTGCATGTTGTGGTAGAATTGCAATACTGACCTCTATACATCCCATTTAACTGCAGGCATTTATCATAAAAACGCATCTTTATTGAATTCCCGACTTGTGTATTAATATTAGAGGCATATGTTTCATAAATGAATGATACTCAGTGTCTGCTGTGTGTCTGGCAGACTGGTGCCTGCTTGTCCTCGTTCACACACACTGCCTTTTACTCTTTTTACTGGAGACGCCACCACAGGAAGCTTATGTTTTGGCAAGGAAGTGCCCCCCCGCGGTTAGGGCATGAATAAGGAATGAGAGCAGGGAAGGGGTTTTAATGAGTAACCTCAGCTACCCCCCAAACTCCTTCTCTTCCCAGACTTTACTTTACTTTGTCTTTGCTCAGCCGTCTGTAGAGAAACACTTGTTCCTCTGGTCCGCCCTCATCAGATCCATTGCATTTATTAACCCTGGAGTCAAATACTTTAGATCTGTTTCATTTAGATGGATAGATAGATGGATAGATAGATAGATAGATGGATGGGTAGATAGATAGTTTGGGAAATTATTTTCGTCACAGAGGCAGAAGTCTGTTCAGACTTTATAATACAATTCTTAAAATACTTAAACA